CTATACTTACTATCATCAATTCCTTCTTCCCAGTCTCTCCCTTTGAATTTTTTTAAAAGGTAGACCAATGATTAAAAAAATATATTTTTATTGATTTCAGAGAGGAAGGGAGAGAGAGAGAGACAGACAGAAACATCAATGATGAGAGAGAATCATTGACTGGCTGCCTCCTGCACGCCTAACATTGGGGATAGAGCCCCCAACCCAGGCATGTGCTTTGACTGGGAATCAAACCGTGACCTCTTGATTCATAGGTTGACATTCAACCACTGAGCCACGCAGGCCGGGCGATAGACCAATGATTTTAATGTAAGAGTTTTAAAAATGTTCAACCAATATGATTTCAAATTCACACTGCAACTAATCTTATTTTATTTAAAAACTGAGATATATAGTTCCAGAACATGTTTAATCACCTCTAAAAGGTCATGAGGTTATTACAAAACACAAATATATAATGTGTTCTATAAGCTGGAAAGTACTAAATACATATAAAGAATTTTCTTGTAGATTTTACTCAGTTGAACCCTTTTTGGTTAAGGATGTGAAGTAGGATACATACCAGTGATCCTGGGGTCTCCACCCCACGTCTTGCTTGCCTTTCTTCTTTGAAGTGCATCAAACTCTCCATAGGAGAGACAGCAACTTTTACCTGCCCCTGGCATTCTCCACTGAAGTCTGTGATGTTGTACCAGCCACAGACAAACTGGAAGCCAGAGAGAAGCGGGGAGAGGTCCACCGAGGCAAAGCCAATCACCCTTTCCTCATCTGTGGGAGAAAGAGAAGAGCAGTGTGGCTAGGCATGTCTTGCCACTGAGATTAGAGGCTGCACACAGAGAAACTGATTTAGGGGACTGGGAGGTTTAATAGTTCCAAAATCAACAGAAGAGACAGATAATGAGAATGAGACTGACAACCACAGCCTGCTTGCACTATTATGGATTAACTAGACGACCGTTGAATTTTGTGCACCGGTAGGGTCCCTCGGCCTGGCCTGCATACTCTCTCAATCTGCAACCCCTTGGTGATGTCGGAGAGCCGGTTTCGGCCCGATCCCCAGAGGCCAGGCTGAGGGACCCCACTGGTGCAAGAATCTGTGCACTGGGCCTCTAGTATGCATATAAGATCTTTGGTTAATCTCTTCCTGCCCTCCCCTTTCCTCTGAGATTCATCAGTCTGTTCCATGTTTCCATGCCTGTGCGTCAAGCATCTGCCCCCTGGTGGTCAGTGTGTGTTATAGCTACCGGTTGAAAGGTCAGACACTTAGCATATTAGGCTTTTATATATATAGACTAGAGGCCTGATGCATGAAATTTGTGCAAAAGTAGGCCTTCGTTCCCCTGGCTGCCGGCACCGGCACCGGCTTCACTCTGGCACCCGGGACCCGGGACCCGGGCTTCCCTCCAGCACCCAGGCTTCCCTCTGGCACCTGGGACTTGGGCTTCCCTCCCTCCAGCTGCCAGCAGGCACCCGGGACCCGGGCTTTCCTTGCAGCCCCAGCTTCGTCTGGAAGGACATCCAGTCTAAGTAGCATATTACACGTTAATTATTATAGATTCCCTTTTGGTATGGCAGGGAAAAGCTGGCAGTGTTGAGATGTGTCCTCTTGATACAGACAACTGGAGAGCACTCTTAAATATAAGAAACTTGTTCTTGTCCATTGGTTATTGTGTCTTAGTGATTTTCCTCAAGGGACTGGGTCTTAAAAGAAAGCATTTGAAAGACCATCACCCCTGGAATTTTGAGGGATTTATTTGCATTTTCCCACTATGCTTATCTGTATTTTCAAAATTTTTGATAACATATTTAATTTAAAAATCACAAAAGACAAAAAATCCCCTAGAAAACCAGTACAGGGTGCAAAATGAGCTTAGGCTCTGGCTCCTAAGGGGGCTGTCCTTAATGACTGAGAAGATCCCTTTCCTGGCCACACAGTTTGTAAACAGCAGAGCCAAGATTTGAATCCAGGTCTGTATAAGACCAAAGGCTTATTCTTTTTATCCTGATAAATAAGTATTGAATTAATAAGGTGAGCCTTGGTCTGCTTTACAATCTCTGGAATACGTCAGAGAGAGGAGAATAGAAAGTAAGACAGGAGTGTGGAGCCTAACTAAATGAAGCAGGAATTCCTAGTGTTGATTCAGAGAAAACCTATTTACGATCAGCTCCTGCTGCATTTATGAGGGGTGGGGGCATAAGTGAATCTGAGGAAGCAGCATGGGAGGAACCATTTAAACCAGACCCACAGCATCACTTCCAAACAGGAGGACAGCAAGAGACAGGTAAGCTGATTTCCTTTATACTCTATTTTTCAGGTCTTTATTAGGCTTTGGGGTTAGCTCTAAAAACTTACCACTACCAAACAAAAACTGTGATGCTGTGGATAACTCAAATCAACCAAAAGTTTGAAAACCAGGCCCTAGCAGGAATCTTACAGCAACTAGTTTTACAGGAGGGATTTAGTTGCTGGAGGCTAATTCCAGCATGTCATAATAACTGCAAGAAGTTCATCAAAAGGTTGATGGAACTTAAGGCTTCAGCAGGGCTGAATCATATTACCTGCTGCTGGAATAGCTGAAAGCATTTCCCAAACCTGAAGATCTGCATATATTATTGCCTGCTGCCAGACAGCTGAGGGCAGTTCCCCCAACCTAAAAATACTTTCCTGCTTACCAAACCTTACCTTTGATATGTATATCTGTTTTGCTATAGGGCAAAATCCTATATAATAAAAGGGTAACATGCAAATAGACCAAATGGTAGAACAACCAAACAACAAATCAAAGCATAACATGCTAATGATATGCTAAGGCTGCTCAACTGCTCACTATGACATGCAGTGACCACCAGGGGCAGATGCTCCAACAGGTAGGTTAGCTTGCTGCTGGGGGTCTGGATGATCAGGACTGAGAGAGATGGGCTGGACATGCCCTGGAGCCCTCCCATGGCCCCTCCCCAGCCTGATCATGCACTGGTGGGGTCCCTCAGCCTGGCCTGTGCCCTCTTGCAATCTGGGACCCCTGGGAGATGTCAGAGAGCCGGTTTCACCCAGATCCAACAGGCCACTCCCCTTGGGAGGGCACCACATGCAGGGCTCATGGTTGGCAAGCGCTGCTGTGGCAGCGTGAGCCTCTCATCGGGGACTGATTGGGCACAGTGGGGCCTGGGTGAGTGGGAGCAGCAGGTAGGAGCTGCAGTTGGGGAGCAGTTGGGAGTGACCAGTCCGGCAGGGGGGATAGTTAGGGGCGATCAGGCCAGCAGGGGGGGCAGTGAGGGGTGACCAGGCTGGCAGGGGGGTGGGCAGTTGGGGGTGATCAGGCCGGCAGGGAGGGTAGTTAGGGGCAATCAGGCCAGCAGGCAGAGGCGGTTAGAGGTGATCAGGCTGACGGGGGGAGGGCAGTTGGGGGTGACCAGGCCGGCATGGGGGTAGTTAGGGGTGATCAGGCCAGCAGGCAGAGGCAGTTAGGGGTGATCAGGCTGGTGGGGGGGGGGGGCAGTTAGGGGCGACCAGGCTGGGGGCAACTGGGGGTGACCAGTCCGGCAGGAGGGGTAGTTAGGGGCGATCGGGCCAGCAGGGCGGGCAGTGGGGGCTACCAGGCTGGCAGGGGGCGGGCAGTTGGGGGTGACCAGGCCGGCAGGGAGGGTAGGTAATTAGGGGCGATCAGGCTGGCAGACAGAGGCGGTTAGAGGTGATCAGGCTGACGGGGGGAGGGCAGTCGGGGGTGACCAGGCCGGCAGGGGGGGGGGTAGTTAGGGGCAATCAGGCTGGTGGGGGGGGCAGTTAGGGGCGATCAGGCAGGCAGGCAGGTGAGCACTTAGGAGCCAGCAGTCCTGGATTGTGAGAGGCATGTCCGACTGCCAATTTAGGCCCAATCCCCGGGATCCGGCAGCTGGACATCCCCTGAGGGGTCCTGGATTGGAGAGTGTGCAGGCTGGGCTGAGGGGACCGCCCTACCATGCACGAATTTCATGCACCAGGTCTCTAGTAGATATATAACCTTAGTTAAGCTACTAAACTTCCTTGGGCTTTCACGTCTATAAAATTGAACAAATTATATTTTTACCTTGCAGGATCAGAAATATTTGTGCTCATGGCACATTGCTATTTAGTAATAAAAACTGAGATAGTACTTAGTAAGTATCAAGCATTTATTTAATACTCCCAAAAAGCTATGAGGTAGGTACTATTATCATCTTTATTTTAGGAAACTTGAAGCATAGAGAAGTCAAGTCATTCACCCAAGGTCATACTACTTTGTAAGGGCAGAACTGGTATTTAAATTTAAAGAGTGTGGCTTCAGAGTCTGTGCTCTTAACTCTGTTGTATTATGCTTCCTAATTAACGCTAGGTGAATAAAACTAGATTCAAGGACCATGATGTCAGCACCTCTATCCTGGGAAGGTTCTTAAAACAAGGAAGGGCAAGCTGTCTGATTCTACTGCCTGAAAATGCTAGCGCCTTCATTAATAATCCAGAGTTAACAGCAGGCATAACAACATCATCCACAAGGGGTAGTTATCACTTGTGTATGGCACGCCATACATTATGATAGTTGAGATACAATTGGAAAGACTCAGATGTACTTGGATTTCTGCACTAAGCATGTGGTCAAACAACATTATCTGCTTTGTAAGGATTTAAATTCCAGGGCATTCTGTGGGATTCACTTCTAACACATTTGTAGATACTCAACACCACCAGTTCTACTGTTTCACTTGGTTAAAAAAAGAAAAGAACTAGCAAACTGCCAATTGTGTGTGAGCTCATTTTCACAACCAGAGTTTATAGAATAGAGTTCATACCTCCTTTATGCCAAACTTTGAAGACCAGAGTTTGTTGTGGGTCCAAAAGAAGCTCTTTTGATAGCCTAATAAGAAAAACAACCACAATAAATGAACTGTGTAGGTTTGAAGAATATCTTGTAGTTTGCAATGCACTTTCATTTTACCTTCAATGTCATTATTTAGGATTTATTTTTATTTTCACAGTTAAAAGGAGGAGATGGAAAGTCAGAGAGATGAAGTAACTTGCCAAGACTTGAAAACAGGTTCCCCTGATACTGCAGCTTCCCCCTCACACTCACTCTGTTTTTCAAGACAAGGGAGGGAGTGTGGAAAGGGAGTCCCTCAACAGGTAATGAACAGTTTTGTTGCAGCAGGTAAGAATACTTCCTGTGCCATGGGAGTGGGGGAATGGCGAGAAGGAAAAAAGAGGGGGAAAAAGAACATTTATTGAGTACCTATTTTGGGCCAGGCATAGCATCAAGTGTTTTATGTACATGTAATCTGCACAAAAACCTATGACATGGGCATTATTATCCCTATTTTATAGATGATGAAGCTGGGCTCAGAGAGGTGAGTGATTTGTTCAAGGTGACATAAAAGTCAGCAAGTGGCAGAGCTGGGATTTGAACCCTAGTTTGCCTGACTGCAAAGCCACTCTGTGCAGAGGTAAGGCACCAAAATAGGAAGATGCCCAACTTTCATACCAGGTAAAGAAGCTGATGTGGAATTCTTTAATGTTTTATATGACATGAATTACACAGTTTTAAATTACACAGATTTGGAAAGTTCTAAACCAGGTATCACTGTTTCAGGTGAGCAAGATGGGAGAACCAAGGTAAATCAAGAGATTTAATTTTTTCCCCCAGAGACCACTGGGGAATTGAATGAGAGACACTGTGCTAAAGTGAAACGAATATTGTGTCAGTTTTGAATTCTAGCTGGGGGTCAAAATTCTTACCTTTGAATTCTAGTTCTACTACCCTCACCTGAGTGATCCTGAGTCTGGCTTACTTTGGGATAATAAACCTGTTAAATGAGATAATAACATCTACCTACAGGTTGCTAGGAGGATCAAATGAAACAATTTTGTGATAAAGGAATAAAAAATGTATCATTATTCATTTTTCTTCTTATCTTGCCTATAGATTATGTAACCTCCCTGTGCCACAGTCAGTACAACTGTAATATGACTGACATAACTCAGCCTCCGATTTTTGAGCCCTCCACAAGATCTGCTGTGTACCTAATATGTACCATGAGGTAACTTTCCTAAATGTCATCTAATTTGGACCTCACAATAACCCTGTGATTTATCCCATTTGACAGATGAGGAATCAAAGGTTCAGAGATGTTATGTAACTTGTTCACATAGTTAGTAAGTGACAGAGATGAGGCTGGAGGCCACCTTTCTCTAGTTCCAAAGCCTAGCCTCTTCCCACTGCACCAGAAATCTTTTCCAAGTATGTACAATCCTCAGTCTTTTCTGAGATTTGTTCTCTTGGCCTCCTTCATCTAGATAATATATACATTCCTCCATACTTAGCTGAGATACCTTGTTTAAGAAGTCTTCCCTGAACGTTTAGCTATCACCTTCTAAGAATATAGAGCTGAGAGCAGCATATGCCACTCTGTGTAATTTTTAAGTTTATCTTAATTACCTGAAATGCCCTGCTTTGTTCTAGGTACTGGGAGTTAAAGATAATTACAATCCTCACTGAATAAAAAACACATCAAACTTTTAAACCACTGCTAGCTATGAATTTATTTTTCCCTTTTATTTTTCAATTGTAGTTTACATTCAATATTATTTTGTATTAGTTTCAGGTACACAGCATAGTGATTAGAAAATCAATACTTTACATAGTGATCCCTTGATATTTCAAGTACCACCTGACACCATACATAGTTATTACAGTTTTATTGACTATATTCCCGATGCTGTACTTCACACCCCATGACTATTTTATAACTGCCAATTTGTGCTTCTTAATCCCTTCACCTTTTGCTGTGAATTTAAAAGCATTAGGATTAAATAATTGCTTGATAAGAAAATCATTTCCCAGGTCTGCAAACAATTACTGTGTCTGTTATATTCCTTGCTCTGAGTTTGTCTCCTGGAACAAAACCAGATTCTAGAGGCTAATGGAACATTATAAAATACAAACCTTGATTGCTGTTGAAAATTCCAGATGGGGGAATCTGTGTTTTTAACCACTGGGGTGTAGACAGGAGATGGCTCATCAGCTGTTGCAAAGGATACACAACAACTGGGTATTGATACCTTCCGCTCTGTTAAGGGGCTCCCTGAAATAGAAGAGAGTGGAGTGACTGTACTTTAGGGTACCAGAAAGAATTTGTTGGAAGCATCCCATTATACAGGCACAAGAGCAGGACCATTCCAGCCATCTCCTACCTTTGGGTCTTTGCTTGAGCTATTCCCTGTATCTGAAATGTTTTCGGTGTCCTTTCTGCTACTAAAACTGTCCTATCAAGGCTTAGTTCATGAATATTCCCAGACAAAAAATGACTTCTCCCATCTCCTTGTACTTTATGGAATGATGGAAAGTATGTGATTGAGAGGCAAAAGATAGAGCTGCAAAAAGTCATAAACTTAAGAGTCAGGTGATCAGTTATTAGCTTTGTCATATATATTCTGTGTGACTTTGAACAAAGGTCTATCTAGGCCACAGCTTCCTCAAATAGGGCATATGATACATCTCCTAAGACGTTAAAAATAAATAATAGTAGGTAACACGTATAGTATATCATTTATGTGCCAGGTACTGTTCTAATACATGTATATGTATTAACTCCTTTAATCTTTACAACAACCCTCTGAGGTAGGTATTATTGTTATTATTCCCATTAAACAGATGAAAAAACTGGGGTACAGGAGATTAAACATTTATTAAGTGGCCACATACTTATTATACAGTAGAACTCAAGCATTCTGGCTCCAGAGTCCAAGCTCCCAGACACCAATATAATGCCTCCACTACAGAGTTGACGAATATAAAACACTGAGTACTATGCTGGAAATTTTTAGGTTTCCGACATAAGAGACTCAGTCATTTGGTTTTTTTTAAAACAAATGCAAAATGAAGATGGCTAATGATACTAGATAGTCTAACTGGGCTGTCCAACTTTAAATTAACGAAAATTAAATAATATTAAAAATTTAATTCCTCAGTTGCTCTAGCCATACTTCAAGTGCTCAATAGCCATATGTAGTTAGTGGTTACCATACCGGGCAGTAAAGATACAGAACATTTCAATTAAAGTACAAAGTTCTTTTTGACAGTGCTAAATACGAGCGACCACTAGACTCTATGTACTCCATAAGCTCCCTCTTAGCTCTAAAACGCTATGAATCTCAGGATTACAAATGTAGGGAAGGGAAGAAAAGAGAAAAAGAGTGAGAAAATAAGTACGTTTTAAACATTATTTATGTGATCCAGAGACACAAATTCTATATGTGGATTCTAAGCAATTTGTCTTCTATCTGTCTAGCGGCTAGCTAGCCCCAGGTTTCCCCAAATGCACACTCTCACTTCACCTTATAGGTGAAGTTAATCTTTGAGGCACCACCCTGCTCCTTCTCTATCTGGCTGCTCCTTTCAGTGACTACTCTTCCAAAGACCTCAGGCTATCCTGTGACAGAAAGCAAACTGATGAGCAGGCCATGGTCAGGAATTGCTGATTTTACTCTCCTCCATGAGCAGTGTAACATTTAATAAGTAGCCATTAAAAGGGCTCAACCACCATCTACTCTCAGAAGCCTCTCAACTCTCTAGGCAGAATCACTGAACTTTATACCCTCAGTTAGATTTCTCCAACTTCAGCTTTCTTTTAGGGAAAGAGAAGTACCTGCCACTTTACTTTGATGTATTTTCCTCAACCAAAAGTGTTTCCATTAGAGTAGACCAATTCTTTTCAAACTTTTCCACCAAAGTAACAATAATCCAGAGAAAAGTAAACACTAAACTCTATAAAGTATTGGGGTTTCTGTTGCCTTTAAAGAGCAACAATAAGCATATCTACTAGGAGGCTTGTACTTAACCTAAAAATCCATGAGGCTTTTATGTTATCTTCCATAATACAGCTCTACTAGATGCCTGGTGCATGAGATTTGTGCACTGGGGGGGGGGGGCACAGGGACGGGGGAGAGGGGGTGGTGTGTGTGTGTCCCTCAGTCTGGCCTATGCCTGGCTGGGGGGATCAGGTCTAAGCTGGCAGTCAGACATCCCTCTCGCAGTCTGGGACCCCTCGCTCCTTACTGCCCGCCTGTAGAGGAGGAAGGAGAGGCTTCTGCCACCACCACTGTGCTTGCCAGCCATGAGCCCGGCTTGCTGCTCCTTAGCTCTGCCTTGGAGATGTGAGAGGCTCCCACCACTGCTGCTGGATTTTCCAGCCATGAGCCCAGCTTCTGGCTGGGCGGTGCTCCCCCGGTGGGGAGTCAGTACACATCATAGGATTTGTTTAAACTAAAAACAATTTCCCCATAACTCCTGGTAAAAAATTGACATATTATATTATTTAATCTCATAACTTCTCAACACCTTGGAGCACACAACCAGACCAAATGGCATTACTTTTAGACTGTCTTACAGGAGATAAGTAATAAAGAAAGAAAATGGATGATAAGGAGAGAAAGGGAGTGGAGATTTTGTAAGGAGGCCTGGGGCAAGAGAACTGACAAGAAGGAAGAGGAATGCTAGCCCTGGAAGTGAAATCTGGTGGTGCCTGTGAGGCAGGAGGGAGCTGAGGCATGTGTAAGGGTTGCCAACAAAGCAGAACCTGGAGAAAGGCTGAACCTGGAGGGAGAAAAGCTTTAGAATCAGAAAGTCACTAAAGATACAGAGGAGAACTATATGGGGAACAAAGTAACACAAAAACCACTGGCTTACACCATGACAAAACCAGTTTTCAAGCATATTCTTGAAAGAGCAGGAAAGAAGATTCTAATAAAATGGTAATAAGCAAAAAACAGTTAATGAAAATCACTAATATAGTACCCATCATTAAAAATAGAAAATGCATAGAATGGCACAATAGTACCTTTATCTAGTGAGTTATCTTCATAAAGGTTTTATTTTAGTGAAACTGAACAATATTTATATGGACTGACATGCTCAGTCAGCATCCATCCCCACCTACTTTTACTGTATTGTATTCCTTTACTGTAAAGACTGAAAGGGCAACTACATTTTCCAGACTCTTTTGCAGCTAGAGTATGGATGATAATTGGCTTCTTGCAATTAGACACTATTACAACAGATATGGAAGGCAGATATGAGGCAGAAGACATCTTTCTTTTCCTTCTGCTTTTCCTATTAGCAAGGGTGACATTGAATTTTCTGTTCCAGGGTTTGGTTGCTGGGTGCTCAGAGTCCCTGTGGTAATAGTGATGATAAGTTTTGGCATACGATTCTGAACTTAAAAGATCTAGTGGTTAAGCTTAGCCTAAAACCCACTCCTCTAGCTATTCCAATGACTTGAAGTACCTTAAAATTCTATATTAAACCCTTATTGTCTAAAATGTCTGGAGGAAGTTTCCTATAACTGGAGTCTCCCTGACATAGCTTTCATACCTCCCCCAAGTTCCTTAGAGATTTCAAGCTACTCAACCGATTCCTTTTAATGAAATGTCATAAATCTTCACAGCTAGGGAAAGAGAACCTGCCTCTATACCGGCAGTTCCCACAGTAGACTATTATGATCTTTGTGTCTGTGCTTCCTTTACCAGAGTGAGAGTGCCCAGATTGCAGAGTAGGCCCAAGGCCCTTATTAAAGGTCTAAAGATTTCCACTGCTCTTTGTTTATAGATGGTTGCCAGGGTTGGAAGAGAGAAACTACCTTGTCTGCTTGTAGTGCATACCAGCAGAAGACAGCAACATCTGCTCAGGAAAATTCTGAGAGATATCAGCAGAGAGGACGAATTGCAATTCTGAGGCATGACTTCTATATTCTGCTGTACTGTGAAGACAACCTTAGCAATGATCTTGTATGATGATCACATTTTACAGTTGAGGAAAAGAGAAATGGCTTTGCCCAAAGCAATCAAGTTAATGGCTCAGCTATAGCCAGAACTCCATCTTCTTTTTTTAAAAAATTTCTTAACATATATTTTTATTATTTCAGAGAAGGGAGAGGAGAGATGGATAGAAACATCAATGATGAGAGAGAATCATTGATTGGCTGCCTCCTGCACACTCCCTACTGGGGATCAAGCCTGCAACCTGGGCATGTGCCCTTGACCACAGTCGAACCCAGGACCCTTTAGTCCGCAGGCGACACTATCTGCTGAGCCAAACCAGCTAAGGCAGAACTCCATCTTCTGATTCTCATTCCAGAACTCTTTCTATTACATCATAATTTGGAAGACACATTTCAGAGGGATGATGGGAAGGGCTGTACTCTCAGGGATCAGAACAGTGCCTGACAAATAAATGTTGTGGGGGGAAGGACTACACAGGTTTCTCACTGCGTGGGTGGGAATCAGGATCCAAGAGAGATGTCTGAAAGTCAGATGCCTACTCTGATGCTTATTCTGACCTGGCTAACAGAAATAGGTCAAATAACAAGTAACTTACATTTTGTAACTCATGCCAGAAATGAGAGAGGTGTTAAGTATCATATTCACAAATAAGAGGCATTATGTTTGCTTAGCTACATCGTGAAGATCAAGGAATTTCTGGAATACAGAAATAACATACAGTTCTTGTCCCCAAGGAACAAACAGCCTAGTGGAGAGAGACATTTACATTTTCAGTATCCTATGTAATAAAAGCCTAATATGCTAAGTGTCCAGTCAACCAGTCAGCCATTCAACCATCCAAAGTGTAATATGCTAATGATATGCTAAGGTCACTCAACCACTTGCTATGATGAGCACTGACCACCAGGGGGCAGACAGTCGACCGGTCGCTATGACGTGCACTGGCCACCAGGGGGCAGACACCCTGATTGGTAGGTTAGCTTGCTGCTGGGGTCCGGCCAATCGGGACTGAGCGAGAAGGGCTAGACATGCCCTGGAGCCCTCTCGCAGTCCCTACCTGGCTGGCCAACATCCTGCGTCTCTCCCTGGCCACAATCATACACCAGTGGGGTCCCTTGGCCTGGCCTGCACCCTCTCACAACCCGGGACCCCTTGGGGAATGTCAGAGAGCCTGTTTCAGCCTGATCCCGCAGGCCAGGCTGAGGGACCCCACTAGTGCATGAATTCATACACCAGGCCAAGTATAAAAGAGAATGAAAATGACCTACTTCATGTAGTTGTTAGGAAAAAAATCATGATAAAGTACTTTCTTAATTGTACAGCACTATACAAAATAAATTACTTTTAACTTATTAGAAAAGCGAGGAACTTCACTCTAACTTTCCAACATGGATCTGGTCAAGAAAAACAGAATAAGATTTTGCTGGCTTACATTTGGGATCACTCTTCATCCCAGAACCCCTGTTGAAAATCACTGAGTTAGAGACTAATAAAAGTAAGATGTGTAATTATTTTCCTATCCAGGTTCACCAACCCTGATTTTTATCCTGGCTCCCTTGGGGGTTTTATGAATCCAGTGTTAAAAACTCTTGGCCTGCCCTGGCTTGTGTCACTAAGTGGTAGAGCATCGGCCCGAGCACTGAAGGGTTGAAAGTTCGATTCCTGGTCAAGGGTATTTTCCTGGGTTGCAGGTTTGTTCCCCAGTACCAGTAGGAATGTCTTGGGGAGGCAACCAATTGATCTCTCTCTCTCTCTCTCTCTCTCTCTCTCTCTCACCCTCCCTCCTTTCCACTCTCTAAAAATCAATGGAGCCCTAGTGGATACTCAGTGGATAGAGTGTCGGCCTGCAGACTGAAGGGTCCCAGGTTCGATTCCAGTCAAGGGCACATGCCTGGGTTGAGGGCTTGATCCTCAATAGGGGGGTGTGGAGGAGGCAGCCAATCAATGATTCTCTCTCATCACTGATGTTTCTATCTACTCCTTTCCCTTCCTCTCTGGAATCAATAAAAATATATTTTAAAAAAATCAATGGAGAAATATCCTCAGGTGAGGATTAACAAAACCAAAACCCAAACCAAACCAAACCAAAAAAAGGTCTTGCCCTCGGTGTACAGTGAAGGCAATAGAAAAGAAGGAAGAGATCTAAAAGAAAATTAAGTCAGAGAACAATTTAATGAATTTTACAATTTGATGGTAACTAAGGAAAAGTATTTAAGCTGATACTCAGGTTTCTGGACTGGGAAATTTATGATATGCAAAATTAGGATAACTGACAAGGTCCACTTATGTTTGGAAAGGCTTTCAGGTTGCTTAAGCTTTAGGCTTGAAAAATATAATAAGTATTGATTAAGATGGTTAACAGTTCTTACAGATGCTGCCATGATTTGAAAGATCTGTGAAGATATGACCACAGCCTGAGGAATAAGTTACATTTTTCTGGATAAGTGAGTAGAGCATACCTTTCAAGCTTAAGTGCATTGCTCTTTCTACCAGGATGCTGACTGCAAAAGTTCCATCCAATTCAGCAGGACCCTCCTGGGCTGGGCAGACTTCAGCTGTGGTGCTGTTGCAGGGAACCTGGGTGCAGGTGGGAGGCTTCTGGTGGTCAGGTGGTACCGAGAGTTGGATCTCATCCTTCCTTCTGGGGAGTTGCTCAGACTCACTGTGGCTGCTGCAGTCCATGGAGTCCAGCTCATGAGTGGGCCCAGGGTGTGGGGGGAGAGAGGAAAGAACCACATGAACTCGCAAGGCAGCTCCTGAGAGATTGGAAGCATTTCGTCCAAATAGAGGATACACACCTGCAAAAGAATACAGGAGAATAAGCCTAAGCAAGCAGGAATCAATGACCGTGGAAGAGATGCTCAAAGAGGGTGCTTGTGGTCCCTCTTTCCTTTTGTAGAAGTACAGGCCCCAACATACCAATTTGCAAAAAAACCTGTGAAGTTACTATACATTGTGAAAATTTTTAACTCCCCCAACACTCCCATCCCCCTTGTCATGCACTATCTCCAATAATGGAAAGTAGTGAGAGCTTAGAATTGAAGACAAAGCCAAATGACTACAGGCAGAGCTGCTGTGGAACGGATTCATGTGCTGAGGGGCAACTAGGCTTTGATGACTTCTGAAGCCACTTACAAGTCCAAGATTTTTATGAAATCAGGAGCGGCCTGTCTTCTTTTCCACATGTCCCACTGACTCTTGTTCTTAGGGCTGCTTCTCATCAGGAAGCTGCCCTGATACTCAATTTAGCCTGTTTCACTAACTAAATACATTTTGGCAGTAGACCTGGAGACCATTTGGAAGGGAAGTAAGAGGCGGTGGCAGAGGAGGCAAGAAAGTAAGAAATCAGTATTTGTTGACTGTTTTTTCGTGTGCCAGAATCTCAGAGGGGTTAAGTACCCTGCAAAGATGACTTTTTCAATAAGTGGCAGATTTAAATTCAGGGATATGAGCTTTATTGGCTTGCTGGATATTCAATGAGATTTTATTTATAAAGCATAAGGCACTAATATTTCTTTCAGAAGCCCAAAGTTTGCTTTAGTAGACTCATTCCAATTCAGGAAAATACAGCTAACTGATTTACAGATAGCATAAGATGGAACCTTTCCTGCCCTGGCTGGTGTGGCTCGGTTGATTCCCGGTCAGGGCACATGCCTGGCGCTCTCACATTGAGGTATCTCTCTCTCTCTCCCTCTCTCTCCAAAAATCAATAAAGCATCTTTATGGGGGGCGGGGGGGGAGATGGCACCTTTCCTGTCTTTTTCTATTTTTAGGTAGGGAAATAACAACCTTACATATATATATGAGATGGATAAATATCATGTTTGTAAAAAATCTAGTCTGGTCATCTCCATTTATTATGCACTATAGTTGCGAGACTTATTTTTTTCTAGCATGCAAAGCTATGTCACTCTTCTCTACAGAACCCATTATAGTTTTCCATAGCTCTCCAAACTCTTCTGCTTAGAAGAGGCCTTCAACATCATATTCTTGCCCACCTCTCTAGTTTCATCTCCCATTATTTCCCAACCTGTGTATCCTACGATTCAGCAGCACCAAATTACTTATAGTGCCTAAAATGTATTAAACTGCTTCAGGCCTCTGTGTCTCCACACACACCCTTTTAAAACACCCTTGTTTCCCACTTTTCTTGGCTTATTCCTAAATTCTTTGAAAACTGGGTCTTTTTCCCTGAGATGTCCTTGAACTAAAGAGATGCTGAACCCCTGTGCTCCTTTAGCACCACTGAGAAAACCTTCTTCATAGTTTGTATGCTTCACTGTAATTGTGTATTTACTACTCTATTGAGGTCAGCATTATTTCCTACTCACCTGAGTTCCCAGGGCCCAGTACATTTATCATGTATTGAACAAATGTTTGAAAGGAAAGTACCCAGCACATAATGCCACTTGTATAATGTTACCTTTTTCCTTTCTGCCTGTGAACCAATGTACTATATTGATTTTCTTTATGATTTCAAAATCTGCTGACCAGAGAGAAAGGATATCCTAGTTTCATTAGCAGGTATGCTTTTCAGTGTATTTAAAAAACTAGGATTCTAGATTATCATATAAGTTCTTACACAAGTGATTGATTTACAGTAGTCCCCTAAATTTACTCATTACGTCATACATATTAACTGAGTGCTTACAATGTTGTAGGCAGTACGTTAGGTGCAAAAATCTGATATATTTGGATGTACTCTAAAATTACTAAGTTCAGAGCCAGTTCTTAGAGCTGTGGTGATTCAACGAAGGTAGACTGTCAGGAGATAATGCTCTTTTTAAAGCAGCCAGCAAACCTCTTTTTGGAATCTCTTTAGTTATGAGAAACATCACTAAGTTACTATTAATCTTCAGCACACAATAATGGAAAGAACATTTCCTATGATCCTGGGCAGTTACCCAACCTCTGTGAGCCTCCATTTTCATGACTATAAAATGGGTCTAATACCTACCTCACAGGATTGCTGGATCAAATAAAATGTCTGAGAGGGTATGTCACATAGTGCTTGTCATAGAGCAGGTGCTCAGACCACAAGAGCTGAGGCTGGTTCTTAACTTACCACTGATCGTCAGTGTCCTTGCTGTCCTCTCCCCAAGTCTGGACAGGTCCACATAGGCTGAGCCAATCCAGCTGTCCGTATTGTGGGGCCTCTCCACATTTTCATTGCCATAAGCCCGCCACACTTGGATCTCTAATCTCTCCTCCCTGAAGTACCAAAGCAGTGACGGGCCCCTAAAGATTTCTGCTTTTTTGGATGCCTTAAAAGTAACTATGACCTGCTTTTGGTTTGTAGATTCCTTAGGTTTCTTGAGAGGAGTCCAAAAGCATTCATGATCATACAGCTTGTAGCGGAGGTAGCAATATGTGCTCTTATGAATGTGCTTCTGGCCAGCAAGCAGCACGCAATGGACGGGCAGCCAGAGCCTTGGTGTGGAGATGGTGATAGTGGCTGGCTCCTCCTCATCCATCTTGACAAGATCCTTCAGGTTATTCTCAAAGCTCCAGCCCAATAGTTCAGCAGCTTCCAACACCCGTTCTCTGTCTCCAGGATGGGTGAAGGAAACTGAAAGCTCCAGACCACCCACAATCTTCTGCATGAGCTCCAAGCCATGAGGCATGGCTCCATCTTCTGGTAAAACAATAGGATACCATCCTGTGATCCCTTATGGGAGAAAGCATTTTCAATTATTGTCCTAAAAGTATAAAGACTTACCCATTATCCACCCCAGAGCCACCTTTACCCTAGCCCCGTGGTCGGCAAACTGTGGCTCTTTGGCCCCTTGAGTGTGGCTCTTCCTAAGCCTTAGGAGTACCCTAATTAAATTAGTAACAATGTACCTACCTACATAGTTTAAGTTGAAAAATTTGGCTCTCAAAAGAAATTTCAATCGTTGTACTGTTGATATTTGGCTCTGCTGACTAATGAGTTTGCCGACCCCTGGCCTAGCCCAAGATAGAACAGAAAACATCTACTGAACAGTGCTTTGTAGTTTGTTTCATCTGGCCACTGAAAGGCAATGAGAACAGGTTGAAGACCAAAGTCTAGGAGTTGAAAGATCTAAATTCTCTCCTTGGCTCAGCCCAAAACTAATGGTTAATCTGGGTAAGCCATTTATTTCTTTCAGCTTTGTTTTCCTTACCTGACAAATGGGAAAATTACTGCTGATCTTGCCTACCAGACAAAGTTGTTATGATTATTAAATGATAATGGTTTTAGAAAAGCTTTCAAAGAGAAGTACTACACAAGACCTGAAATGTTATTATGATGTTACTAGATGCCCGGTGCATGAAATTCATGCACGGGTAGGGTTCTTAGGCTGGCCAGCAATCAGGGCCAATGGGGGCCTTCTGGCTGCCTGCCAGGGCCTTCCTTCATTCCGCGCCGCTCCCTGGTGGTCAGTGCACATCATAGTGAGTGGTTGAACTCCTGATTGGTTGAACTCCTGAGGGGGCAATTTGCATATTAGCCTTTTATTATATAGGCTATAGGACAATATAATGAAAAAGGCAAGGGACAAGCAATCAGGAGATTTGGGGTCTAGTTCCAGGGAACTGCCACTTAGTGAACATATACCAAGGACCAGGAATTAGATTTCAAAATAATAACAGCTTCTCTATTGAGTATTTACTATGTGTCAGAAATTCCCCTAGTTTTATATATATATTACTTCATTTCATTCTCCTGATAACCCTGTGAAATTCTGAGGATTAACTGGGATAAGAATCCCTATTTTGTAGAAGAAAAAATGGAAACCCAGAGACCTGTCCAAGTTGTTATAGCTACCAAGTGGTAGAGCTAGTATTTGAACCTAGGTCTAACTGGTTCCAGTCTACATTCCACCTACTATAGGCTTACAATATCTTATCTGAAACCCTTAGGGCCAGATTTGTTTCTGAATTTAGAATTTTTCATATTTTAGAAAGATAATATGGTACATAAACAAAATATTATGTAATGGTCAGTGGTCATGTAAGTCAGTGCCAGAAGCCGGTCCATCCTTGCTGCTTGACATAGTCGCTGCAGGAAAGAAACATCTGCACAGCATATGTTTCAAGGGACCTGGCGTATATAGCATACTGTTCTTAATATGTTTGCTCCCCTTAGCGCTGTGTGTTTTAACCAAGGTCACCTCTCCGAGAAAGGTTGTTTCCCCAGGTAGGAATTTTTCCCTGAAGTCAGGGAGGGGATGCCTCTCCTAGAAAGGTTGTTTCCCCAGGTAGGAATTTTTCCCTGAAGTCAGGGAGGGGATGAAACTCCTTAACTAAGTGCCAGGCGGGTAGTTAATCACTACAAACAATCATGCTTAAGCTACATAATCTTTACTCCCTGGAATGGAGATAAGAAACGCCCTAACCTTTGTAATAGAAATTGACAGGATTAAAATCAACTGGGATAAATATGGATGTAACAAGACAATA